GAGTGCTTACTTTTATTTAGATATTTTTGTGTGCTATAGCAGGGAAAATAGATAAAGAAAATGTGATATTATCTTTGTCCACAAGAGGGTGCGTGTGTCCACCAAACCCACTGCAGCTCCATCATAACACCACTGCATTTTTTTTTTAAATCCTGGAACGCCGTGTCCTCACAGAAGACCACTGTGCTTTTTGTCTGCAGTCTGTCTCCAGGATGTTATGAGAAGACTCGTACGCAGTGTTTGGTGCATTTTTTGTAGGTTGTGAGGTCACACCTTACATACTGATAATACAAATCCCTTCAGTTTTCACTTGGGAATCATTTATGCATCCACACTGCAGAAGAAGCCCAACTAGAAACAAGCTAAATAGTCTGTAATTTGTACAAAATCGTGTGGAGCACTAAAAATCTGTCATCTGGGTGAGAGTAGTTTTTTTTTTGTAAACAATATGTTGAATAATGTACAGTAATACAAAGCCTTTTTATATGCTTGATGTACATTTTTGTTGCAATAATAGTGTTTTCTTTTCTCCCGTTTTAAGTTCAAATTCCACTTTTGCTGTGATAGAAACAGGGGTAGGGTCGGGTTGCCATTTAGATCGCAGTTGCCCCCTTTTTTCCTTTTAGCCCTTGAAACATCACCACATATGGGCAGGGCCCCAGGCTGATGGGGGCCCTAACAAACCAACCAGGACTCCCTCCTGACAGTCAGACCACTGTGCCGTGGAGCACGGCTCTCTGTTTCCTCCTGCCTGGGGTAGAGCATCTGAGGGGTCTGAGGGATCTCTGTGTGTGTTCAGGTGCCAGTGACTGCTTCAGAATAGTGGGCCTTTTCTTCTAGCTTCTGTGTGGAAGATTAGAGCAGCCAGTCCCTCCCAGTCACCTGATCCTACATCACACTGACACAACAGGCTACGGCTACTCTTCAACACCTGCTTTCATGTCTGCCGTACTGATGGTGGTGATTGTGACAAAAACAACAGTGGTGGGGAGGTTTAGGTCAGAGGTTACTGCTTGGCACCAAAAAGTTGTTGTTGTTGTTGTTGTTGTTGTTGTTGTTGTTGTTGTTGTTGTTGTTGTTGTTGTTGTTGTTGTTGTTTGAGACACAGCCTGAAAGTGAAATCGGTGAAGTGGATTTGTCAGGGAGTGGTGGCTTGGCACTTAAGAAAGTGAACTTAGGTCCAGAGTGTTTCTGGTTCAAGTCCACCAGCTGCCAAGTCAGCTCTGAGATGCCACTGAGCATGGCACACATTTTAATTAATCGCACGCAATACAATTTTGCAAAAGCCTACTTTACATTCAGTTGGTGTAGCGACCCCAGCGTTAGCTGGATTTACTTTTCTTTTCTGTCACGCCGCCCCCTTGGGGACAGAAATGTTTTCACGCCCTCTTCGACCCACACCCCCGCAAATTGAAATACTATTGATAATATGCTTGATAATATGTATATTTTTATATGTACAAACCACTGTATGAGTTGCTGCCAGTGGTGTGCACTTGTTTTAAAAAAACAAGTAAAACATTTAATACATGTACAGCTGTTGAAAAATGATTAATCCCCACAGCATGGTTCTCCCACATCTGTGTTTTACTGTGGGGACGGTGTTATTTGGGTTCGGGAGAGTGGTTGGAATTAATAATGTTTTCCTCACCTGTGGTGTAATAAGCCTTGGCTCATCAATAACTACCTTTGGCCTTGTCTTTTATCAGCCTGTTTGTGCTCCTGTGGTTATATGGTGTATAAGTGGGATATTCTGAGCTCCGATCCCAGCACCAAAAACACTTCCAGGTTTTCCTAGGCATCTCATCATCAACCCTCTGACACCAATCTGCACAGTGTGAATGGTCGTCTTTTACGTAAAAAACCCACCAACTTCACGCTGCTGAAAAACCATCCAGTTTTGGCTTGGCTTCCCTCCTTCTCTACCTCATAAAGACGCCCAGTGTGTTACTCACCAATGACAATAATTGAAACTGCATGTCAGTCAGATCTACAAACACCGTGTTTTATATTTTATTTTTTGTTTGTTGACCTAAAACTGATGCTGTCATGTAAATACCCCTGTGGTTTGGCTGGTGAAACGTGCAGCAAATGAAGCTCAGGCTCGTTCATATGCACCGCTGCTGTTTACTCCGGTGAATTGGCCCCTTTAAATCTGCAGCTGTGCGGAGTGGTCAAAGTCAGGAATTCAAATTTGTCCCTTTCCCAGACAGTACAAATTGTTCCTGATTCTGAAAACACAGGAAACATTGGCTGGCTGTTCCCGATGTGAATCAAGGCTTGTAATGGGAGGCTTTGTTCAGCAGTTGTGTCATGACTGTTCCCGTGTCTCAGGGCATGATATGACGGGAGACAAAGCACATCTATTTGTGTCAAACCCAGTGGTGTGACTAGATGCACAGAAAGGTTATCTACCTCATTTCAAACAACTGTTTCCTCATGGAACACACCCCCTCCCCCGCCCTCCTCTCTCACTGTATCCCTCTGAATCAGAGGAGCAGACTGAGCTGTGTGACTGCTACGTTGCTGAGTACGCAGCTCACATACCACGGAGGGCTATGATGTCATCCACACAAAAGCTATGGGAATCGGTCATCTAAGGACAACAAGTCAAAGCTGCCAACAGCAGTAGTAAATACATTACGGCACACTTTAGTCGCCCAGTGCTATATTGGCAGCGTTGAATGTGTTTATCTGGAGCAGTTCCCCAAGTGGGGAACAACAGCACACATTACATTCAGGAATAGGAAGAGGGGAGGACAGCTGCATGCTGGGAGCCAGGACATTACCTCTCAAACATGCGCTGCCTGCTGTCATGACCTGAATGGGAGTTAGCGTGGTGTGTTCCCAGTCCAAAAAATGACATGCATACGTGCGTGTGCACGTGCATGTCGGAGGTCAGAAAGTCCTCTTGTAGTTTTTAGCTCTGCTAAGTCAGAGCTCTGATTACTTCTTGACCCTGTGGGGGCAGCGCTCAGTCATTTTTGTTTTTTACGTACCTAAATATCCTCAGACCTCTGCAGGGGCTTTGAACACAAACGTACTGTCCTGGTATAGGAATATATTTTTTTTATAAATCTAATCATTTGAAAGAATCACTTTTAGTTTGTCCCTGTATCTGTGGTCGCCACATTGTGTTGTATTTTCACATGTCTTCATCTAGATCATGTAAAAAGACGCAGAAAGTAGTAAAAACCATGACCTGCAGTTTTACCGGGGACTCAGAGGAGGAGCAGTTGGACCTGGTGTCCATGTCTGTGTGAAGCCCGCAGAGAGGAGCAGCCTCCTGGCAGCGGCAGAGTTGATGAGGCGGTGAGAGGACCGTGTCCTCCATCTGGGACTGACAGTGAAGGTGGGAAATGTCCTCAGCCTGAACAGCCTGCTCCTCTCTGCTGTCATGTGGGCCACGGCCCCCACATTATGGCTAGCCCGGGGAGGGCTGTCATGTGGGCCATCGGGGTCTGGCTGGGCCTCCTGACACTTTTGAAAGGCAGCCATTCTTTTACACAAACTTCCAAACACATACCTGCACAATGTAAGGAGGCCTCCCACCAGAGCAAGCCCACGTGGGCGTCTGTTTTTCTTTGTTTTCCACAGCTACTGCTGAAAATATCTTGTGAGAAATTTATCATAGTGGGAATAGACTTGTTTTTCCTCTTCTTATGAACTCCTGTTTGTTACTCTGTGCTTCAGCGTTGCTGTTGATCAGCTCTAAAATGTTTGTCTAGTGTAGCTCTACTTAGAGGTAAAACGGAAGAAGTGATGTCCATTTTTCCTTAATGCTCTATGGCTCTATGGATTTTGTGCTGCAAGGTGATTTGCTGATTGAACAGTTGTCTGTTTACATCACTGTCACAACAGAAGGCCCTTCTCTAGTTTGCATGTTTGTCTGTCACAAATCACCCCTGACTCTCATCTCCACCCACTCCGCCCTTGCCTTCCACCTCTGTACACTTGTGACCTCATTTAAAAAAATTTAAAAAAAAAACAGAGGGAAAAAGATTGTTTTCAGGCATTTGTTTGTGATGACGCACATCCTCGACAACTGGTACTGCTCTAAGAGGCATTAAATCATAAGTCACATCCCTGAACGACACATTTTTGAAAATACAATGTTTTATTTTTTATTGTCATATGACTTTCGTCTTTTCTTCACCCATGCTGACAGTTGTTTTTCTAGTACTTCACTCATGGTGGTCCTGGCTCTGACGCCACAGTGGATCAGTGGGTTAAATGCTAGCTTTGCGATGTGATGTCTGTGGTAAAGCTAGGCCAAAGTAACCTTTTGATAATCCCATCTCTTCCAGCTGTTATTCCTCTGACCGACTCCGAGCACAAGCTGCTGGCACTCCATTTTGCCGTGGACCCCGGCAGGGACTGGGAGTGGGGGAGGGACGACAATGACAACATCAAGCTAGCCAAGTAAGTCCTGTATGGTTAATGGGTTATTGCTCATATACAGTAGAGCCTGATTCCACAGAGAACAACCAGTCATTCGATGAGGGCTGTGGGTTCAGGCTCCCTGGAAGTGACAGTTGTGTCATTTATATGGTTTCCCAAGAATCTGTGTCTCTGACTTTAAACTGTGTTTTTAACTAACTTGATGTCAGAGTTTATGAGTATTTAGAGTTTGTAAATAACTAGAAAACATTACCCTGTTCTGGGAATCATATTAAGTAAACAGAGGAATAATGATTCAACTATCTGCAGCTTATAGAGGGATTCTGGTCATTGTGAAATCCCAGGGTTTAAGGATTTAGACCTTCCGTCCTACAGTATGCTGTTTGAACACAAATGTCAGATTTCAGCTGCATGTTTTAAATCATACTCTCACGACACATGTTCTCCCACAGTCTCATCCTGTCTCTGGAGGCCAAACTCAACCTGCTGCACAACTACATGAATGTAACATGGATTCGAATTCCATCTGAAACAAGGGTAAATCTCTTTTCCTTTTCTCCTCCGTGGTTGATTTATCTGTTGAGAAACTCCTTCATACCAGATGTTCTTTACGCCACAGAGGCCATCATCAGTGTCATCATTCAGTGTCATAATGTCATCATGAAATTATTTGTTTTGTTGTGTGCTAAATAGCAGTTAGTCAGAATCAGTGCTTATTAGCAGCTGGGTGTGAATGTACTTTGGGAATATTTCAAAACTGTCCACTCTCTGTCCCACCAGTGTTTGTTTATTTACTCCTTCTGTCGTTGGGTCTCTGTGCAGGCTCCCTTGGCTCAGCCAGAGTCTCCGACAGCCTCTGCAGGTGAGGATGTGCAGTCTTTGGCAGAGTCCATGGACTCTGACCGTGAATCTGTCGGCAGTAACTCCAACATCAACACTGGCAAGCCCAGCAAAGAGAGCAAAGACAAAGACAAGCAGCGGAAGGACAAGGACAAAGGCCGGACTGACTCTGTAGCCAACAGATTAGGCAGCTTCAGCAAAACCCTGGGTATCAAGCTGAAGAAGAACATGGGAGGTTTGGGTGGCCTCGTGCACGGCAAAATGAACAAATCTAATTCTGGCTCAGGTCGTGGTGGGGAAGGTGGAGGGGAGAAGACCAAGAAAAAGGAGTCAAAGACATCCAAGGCTAGCAAGGAGGAGTCGGGCCAGTCCACCAGCTCCACCTCTTCTGAAAAAGCCACCAGTCCCTCACCAACAGATAATGACAGACCCTCCAGCTCCTCCCCCACTGAGAGACAGGACAGTTCAGGGAGAAGCTCAGGAGACAAGACCATGGAAAACTGGAAGTACAGCACTGACGTCAAACTCAGTCTCAACATCCTGCGGGCTGCCATGCAGGGGGAGCGCAAGTTCATTTTTGCAGGCCTCTTGCTCACCAGTCATCGGCATCAGTTCCACGAGGAGATGATCAGCTACTACTTGACTAATGCGCAGGAACGATTCAGCCAAGAGCAGGAGCAAAAGAGGAAAGAGGCCGAGAAGAAGGCAGTCGTAAATCCTGAGGTGGCCGCCAAAAAGTTGGAGCATGAGAGCGTCTTGCAGAGGGAGAGATCGGACAGCTCGCCTCCTGAGAGTTGCTCTCCTGTCCTGCCCCACCACACCTACAGCCACAGCTCGCAGCCCCCGCTGGTCCTTAAAACGCAGGGCAGAAACAGCCCCATTCCCGCGGCCCCACTCATGTCCGCCCCAGTGCCTCCCCTCACGCCGCCTACAGTCCCACATCTCGTCTCACACCCAGCCCCAGCCCCCGCACCCTACTCCTCCCCCAGTATTGGTGCTAAGAGACCTGGGCCCGTTCCTGTGTCTGCCCACTACAGCCATACGCCACCCATCCAGAGGCACAGTGTGATCCACATACAAGATGTCAACATGCAATCCTCCATCTTCCAAGATGAGCCCTACAAGCCAGTGGTGGGGTCCCTGAAGACCTGCGCCACCTACCCCCAGCAGAACCGCACGCTCTCGTCACAGAGTTATAGCCCTGCTCGCCTGTCGGGTGTGCGCACCGTCAACACCATGGAGATGCTGGCCTACAACATGCCCGGCGAACACAAGTCCCATACCTACACCAACGGATTTGATGCGGGAGACATTCAGGACTGCCTGGAGTTTGCTGATGAGGACAACTCGTCTCACACCTGGCTCAACAAAGACAAAACCAAAGGGCGGAGTTCTGGAAGCCCTTTGTACTGCTTTCAGCAGCACCGCTGCAAGAGGGAGAACTGCTCTTTCTACGGCAGGCCAGAGACAGAAAACTACTGCTCCTACTGCTACAGGGAGGAGCTGAAACGCAGGGAGAGGGAGGGCAAAGCGCAGAGGCCTGAATAGCCATCACCGCCACTCGCCATCAAGGCCGAAGGAGACTTAAGGGAACGACACCATCTGCACTCCGCATTTAGAATAACACGGTGGCAAACATTTTTCCTAATTTTGTCAAGGAATGCTCTTGTGATCCCGTCACCCTTTCCTTGTCGGCAAAGGTTGTTACTGTATGATGGAGGAAGCAGAACCTGAAACAGTGAGCAGCTTTGGCCAGAAAAATGTGCTGTTGGGTTTTTGTTCGTGTCTCACTGAATTTAGCCTTTTACTTGTTTTAGAGTAAAAGCCATCTCATTTTAACTCTCTGTATGTGAGGGAAAGCTCTTTATCTTTTTTTTTTATTATTTTGGAAGTTTGAAGGATTTGCATCTTATGTGGAAGGAACATTTTAGCTCTTTTAATCAGTTTCAATGCAATACCTCGACTTGGTTTTCTCAAAAGGTGTAGAAAATTTGTAGTTGTTTTGCAATCCAAATGAATTCAACGGGAGATTATTTTAGACTCCAAAGCAATAAATTGGTGATTTTTGCTACGCTCACTCCCATATTTGTCTATGCACCAATAACATGATTGCTGTAGGTTTATCTGTGTCTCATAAATTGTAAAGGATTGTCATGGTGTGCTTTTTGTAAACTACAAGAATTAGGTGTGTGGGCATTTTAGATTGTATGGTCAGATTAGAATGAAATGTAAAAATCTCACTTGTCACTAGTTAACCGTCGTCATTATGACACCGCAGGGGTTTGTGGTGTGAAAATTGGATGCAAAAAAAAAAAATTGTGACGACGTCATAGTTGCCCTAAAACCACAAGCACTGCCAAAAACAGGCTTCTTTTAAAAGATGAAAAAGAAAGGTTGACTCAATATTTCCAAACATTTGTGCCAAAAACTGAAAAGTATACGTAGGACAAATATGCCTTCAAAACATGCAGTGTTTTATGGTGTGTTTCTCTAAGTCACCCGTTTGCTCCTCTATGCCCATAAATGTGTTAGATGAGATGAATTGTGGGTAGTGAGAGCAGGCTTGATGCGTATTTGTCCGTTGTGTGCTTATGTGTTCTTTTTCCCTCCCCTTCTCTCTACATTTGCCACAGGACGTGCAATCATGCTACTAGCACTACACCGTGGTGGCCCGCAGTATAGTCGTGTCACCCACACAGTGTGAGATTGTGTTCTTCTTCTATAACGTAGAGGCCGTTCAGAGAAGCACCTGCTGCTACGAGCACCTCAAGCCTTTGTGATCGTCAGTGCTTTAATCAATCAGTGGGTTTGTAGAAAAAAAACAAAAACAAATAAAAAAAAGAACCGGTTACAAAAAAAAAAAAAGCCCAGGCCTTTAAGTGCTTTCTGCTCATTCCACATGACTACTGTAAAGATGCAGTGTTTGTGTTGCTGTTTGTTCTGGTGATGCTTGGATAATGTACCATTCTGTCCTTACCTAAGTGTGTCCTGGCCAAGGATGTCCACTGCTCCCTCAGTTCACTTCTGACTCTCTCCTCTCCACCTCAGTGTTGCTCCTCCTCGTTTCTATGTGATGACAGTTCATGGACTCCCACCATGTTAGGACTGTAAGATATGATTTTGTATTCCTTTAAGAGTTTTACACTACTTTAAATTATTAATTTGCACATTAGGTACAGATGTAAATATAAAAATAGTTTATTGTTACAAATACTGTGTGTCTCTCTCCTTTTTGGGGGCTGTTTTTATACATCGACTAAGTGGGTGAGTGAGTTAATAAGCCAGTTGAATAAGTAGCTAACTATGTTAGTTTATGTAGATACATGGGTGAGTGAGTACGTCAGCAAATAGGTAAGCAGCTGAGCGAGTAGCTAATTAGAGTAAGTTACCTGGATTGGTAAGTATATCAATTAGTACACAACAATCCATCCATCCATCTCCATCTGCTTCACCACCCAACTCACACTGCACCGTTACAGCCCCTCCTGAACCTTCCTGCGGGTGGTGAGTCCACTGGAAGATGCCAACTGCCCTAACCGGGATTGGATCTTGCCCAGGAGGTGAACCCTGGGGCTCCATACCAATGACAGAGACATTGCCTCTAGGCCAAAGCACCACAGTACACAACCAGGTAAGTAAATTTTATAGGACTAACATAGGAACTAGGTGAGTAATAGTTCATATTACTCACCTAGTAATGACAAATAATTCACTTTCACTTACTTTAGAGAGCAGTGGTGGCTTGGTGGTTAAGGAAGCAGTCTTGGCTCCAGAGTGTTTCAGGTTCGATTCCACCAGCTGCCAAGTTACCACTGAGGGTGGCACCATCCCCACACACTGATTTCCAGGCACTTCAGCTGCCCACTGTTCACTATGGTGATGGGTAAAAAGCAGAGGTCACATTTGGTTGTGTGCAGTGGTTTGCTGTGTAACTATGACAATTCATTTTCTTCCACTTTACTTTAGTATTTAACCACAACAGGTACCTCAGTGGACAAGCAGGTAATTAAGTATGTAAATTATTACGTGACCAGGTAAGTTAGTAAAGTAAGTTTTATTTTTTCTGTTGTAACTTATATCCAGAGGCTGTGAGTATAGAAGGATAAACTGTCATCTTAGGGCTGTGACTAGTTTTCCTTGCAGTAGTGTAGTTGTTCTCCCTTTTCCCCTTCCCTCAAGTGCTCTTGTGCCCCCCAAGGCCCACCCTCTCAATTTGATAACCTGTCTAATCTAGACTAATCAAAATTTAATTTCTCTATTCGACCTCATAATTTGCCCCACATTATCATGCTCAAACATTATCTTTGTCCTAAAAAAAAGTTTTTCTGGTTTTCCAGATCAACCCTGGAAAGTCGGCCTAAAAAACCTTAAACGTCACCAAGTCAGTACCTGCAAACAAGTATAATATTAAAAAAGAAGAAAATTGCACATATTTTTTTGACTTGTCTCACTTAGAATCACACAAGACATTTAAGTCTTCAACCCTTTGACAGACCACAGTCAGAGGTCTCCATGGAGACATTGATTGGAGGGGGGGTGGCCCCCCCTTTTTTTTTACAGAGGTTGTGAAACATTTCCACTACACTGACCTCATTTTATATCAGCTTTACACAATGTACTGCTCTAAATTTTGCTAATACACACATACTACCTTTGTAGAGCAAATTAAGTCGTGTTTAGCCTCAGCAAAGTCTGATGTACCAGTACACACACAATGCGACCTGGATATACACTGTGAAGTAATCTCCGAAAAAAAAAAGTT